TCGTAATCCTCATCCCCTTTACAATTTTTTTAGCTATAATAGATTTTCTCCTTCCTGTTTTTCTTTTATTTCTTTTGTATCCTCTATTATGATCCCCAAAAATGTGGCAGAAGCACTTGATTATCCTGGATGGTGACAAGCCATGATTTCTGAACGTGATACAGGAACGTGATGTCAATTCTTTTGTTATACAAGAACGTGATACATGGCGACTAATTGGAGAAGGACATAAATATAGAAGTGTATACTATTTTAGAGCTAGGCTACCTGTGTCTTGTTTTGCATCTCAAAACCCTAAACTGTTACATGATTGTTTGGGTCATCCGAGCCTGTCAAAATTAAAAAAATTGGTTCCTGAACTTAGGAATCTCCAAATGTTGGAATGTGTGTCATGTCAATTAGGCAAACATGTTAAATCATCTTTTCCAAAGAAATCTGAGTCAAGATGTAATTCTGTCTTTTCTATTATTCATTTTGATATTTGGAGGTCCAGTCATGTCTCATCTTTTGGTGTCAGATATTTTGTTACGTTCATTGATAAATATTCGAGATGTACATGGATTTATATTATGAAAGATCGTTCAGAATTGTTACTTATCTTTGTATCCTTCTTGAATGAAATCAAAAATCAATTTGGTCAAGTAATTAAAATTTTAAGAAGTGACAATGCCAAAACATATTTCTCCTCTCATTTCTCTATTGTTCTAAATTTACCATGAGATTCTACACCAATCCACATGTCTTCACACTCCTCAACAAAATGGTATTGCTGAAAGGAAAAATAGACACTTGATTAAGACTGTTCGTACCTTATTACTTGGTGTCAATATATCAGTCCTTCATTGGGGTGATGTTGTTCTAACTGCTTATTTTCTTATTAATAGAATGTCATCATCTTCTCTCAATAATATGATTCCTTATTCCATTCTCTTTCCCAAAGAACCTCTCTTTCATATCTCTTCTCGTGTGTTTAGTTGTGTATGTTTTGTTCATAATTTATCCCTAGGGATGGATAAACTTTCTACCCAGACTATCAAATGTGTCTTCCTAGGCTATTCTCGCATTCAACAATAATATTGGTATTACTCTCCTGAAACAAAGAAATACTACATGTCTGTTAGTGTCACCTTGTTTAAACAGACTCCTTTCTTCCCTTCATTTGTTCAAGATGTTACTTCCATCCAAGATATTCTACCTATTTCATTAGTTGAGTCAATTGTCCCTTGTGCCTTAGATGATCCTGATCTTGTCATCCATTCCCTTGAACAGGCACCACCTTCACTTCTTACCTACCACCGTCGGAACCAAATTACTCGTGCAATGCTCCAAGGTGAAACCTCTTCTTTCGGTCCTTCTCCCTCATCTTTTCATATCGCAATTCCTCTGATGATTTCCTACCATTGTCATCAGAAAAGGTATTTGCTTTACTCGTAACCCTCATTCCATTTATAATTTTTTTAGCTATCATAGGTTGTCTCCTTCGTATTGTTCTTTTATATCATCAGTGTCTTCCATTACTATTCCAAAAAATGTGAATGAAGCACTTGATCTCCATGGATGACACCAAGCTATGATTGTTGATGATATAGTTATTATCGGGAGTAATACTATTAGAATATCTCAATTAAAGGAACACTTGTGCAAGCATTTTCAAACCAAAGATCTTGGGAGTCTCAAATATTTTTTGGGTATTGAAGTTGCTCAGACAAGAGAAGGTGTTATAATATCTCAAAGGAAATATGCACTAGATATTCTAAGAGAGACCGATATGATTGACTGTAGACCAGCAGACAGTCTTATGGATCCAAATAAAAAACTAATGACTGAACAAGGTCAACTATTCTCTGAACAAGGTCAACATTTCTAGACCTGATTTATCTTTTGCAGTTGGTGTTGTTAGTCAGTTCATGCAGGCTCCTTACTATGATCATTGGAATGTCATCATCCGTATCTTGAGGTATCTGAAAAAGGCTCAAGGACAAGGTTTATTATATGAAGATAGGAACAACACTCAAATATCTAGATATTGTGATGTTGATTGGGTTGGTTCCCCTTCTGACAGACACTCTACTATAGTGTATTGTGTTTTTCTTGGAGGAAATATTATTTCCTAGAAAGGTAAGAAACAAAATGTTGTGGCTCGATCAACTGCCGAAGCTGGATATAGGACAATGACATCTCTTACTTGCAAACTTGTATGGGTGAAACAATTATTTCAAGAGCTTAAATTTTGTGAAATCCAGACCATGAAAATGTATTGTGATAATTAAATTTCACTTCACATTACTTCTAATCCAGTATTCCATTAGAAAACAAAACACATTGAGATTGATTGTCATTTCGTTCAGGAAAAGTTGGTGACTAAGGAAATTTGTACTGAGTTTATTGAATCTACTTATCAACTTACATATGTGTTAACAAAGTCATTAAAGGGTCCTTGAATTGAGTTTATTTGTTTCAAGCTTGGTAGATACAATCTGTATGCTTCAGCTTGAGGAGGAGTGTCGAAATTATTAATTGATTATTGGAATCATTAATTAGTTGTACCTATCTTTGTCCCTATATCTTCTAGCTCATAATTTTGCCTCTTGACCTTCCATCTACTTAGTGTATTTGTTCTTATCATTATAAATAAAATATCATGTTAGAGGTGTGATTAAGCCCTTTAAAACTATTTTCTCTCTTTTATTTTATCTTAAGTACAAGAAAGATAAGTCAATACAGATAGGTGCATTATTGATAAGCCAAAACCTTATACCAGAGTTATTCATCTTGGAAAAAATGTGAATGCAGATTTGGAGAATGTAGGTTATTTGTTTGAGACTCAACTCAATGAATCAACTAAATCATATCCACTTAAACCACCTATAGAGCCTCAACTGAGAAGATCTGATAGAGTTTGTGTTGTTAACTAATGGAAGAAAGTCATAAAGCTATGAAAAAGGTATGTCATATGAAGAGAAAAGAAAAGTAGTACAAAGTCAAGCAAGAAAAGATGCAATCTTTACATGAAAATCACACATTTGGACTAGTGAAGCTGCCTAAAGACAAGAGAAAACTAAGAAATAAATTGGTGTTCAAATTGAGAAAAATAACACATAACCAAGGTATAAAGACAAGGTTAGTTATGAGGGGCTTTAGCTAGAAGAAATATTTTCTCTTGTGGTCAAAATGTCTTCAATAAGTGTTGTACTTGACTTAACATCAACTTGAAAATTAAAAATTGACCAACTTTATGTGGAAACAATATGCTTATGGTGACTTGAAGGAAGAAATCTATACGAACCAACTTAAGGGTTTCACAATCAATGGTAAAGAGAAGCTCGATTGTAGACTGAGTAAGGGCTTATATGGACTAAAACACACTCTAAGACAATGGTATAAGAAGTTTGATTTCTTCATGGTGGATTACAGGTGTGGTAAAAAATGTTATCATTATTTTTTTTATGAAAAAATTTCCTAATGCAAGATTTATGATTCTCTTGCCCTGTATTCATGGCATGTTAATTGTTGGTCATGACACTAAAAAGATTCAAAGGAGATCTAAACAAGTTATTTGTAATGAAGAATTTGGAAAAAAATCCTTATCATGAAAATTAAGAATAGAAAATTAAACCTATCATAGCAAAAATAGAAAAGTATTAGAGAGATTTATGATAAACAGTTTTAAATTTGTCAACATTGCACTTGTATGTACTACAAATGAGAAAGAGAAGAAGAAATGCAGAAGAGTTCCTATTCATCTATAATATGTAGTTTGATGTATGTTATGGTGTAACATTACTCATGTTCTTAGTGTTGTTAGTTGTTTTTTTGTTAATAGTGAAAAATAACATTGACAAGTTGTAAAGTGAATACTCAAATATCTCAAAGATATTTCTAGATCCTATTTATATTTTGGAAATGGTAAATTTATGTTGAATGATTACATATATGCAGACATGACTACTGATGTTTATTTTAGAAAGTCTACTATTGGTTATGTTATGTTTATCGAGAGTGATATCATATAGTACATATTGCAAAAGTGTATTGTTTTATCTTTTATAAAGGTAGAATATATTGTTGTTATATAAGCTACTAAGATTTAGGAATGAAAGTCGAATTTATCTCAACAAGAATTTGACCTTTTATTCAAGGTTAAAACATATTTAAGTATAATAACATTGGATGTGATATGATGGAGATAAAACAACTATTACTGAAGCAAAAATTCATACAAATGAGAATGACTTAGGTATGATGCCAATTGGAAAAATTTGCTATTTACAAGGGAGAGGTTTGTCATTTGGATCACCAATTTATTGTACATATGTTAATTACATTAAAGAAAAAAGGACAAGGGTTTTTTTTTATGGGTTGCCACCCATTATGCTTTTAATAGGATTCATCTTTATTTGCATTAGTGTTTTTTATCGACAACAAAATAGAGAAATGGCATCTCTGGTGAGAAAAAAGAAAAAAATAACCAAGAGAAAAAAAAAATATAATAACATATGTGTATATGTGCAAATTTGTGCAACAAGTATTTTGGTTACTTTAAGAATTTTCTACTTATTACTTTAAGTATTTTGGTTCTCCTTATTGTCTTCTTAAATACATACTACGATTATATGTTATTATTCACCTTGTTAGTCAAGATAAAATGTTTTGTTGAGTCTTGGAGACTCGAGAGATTTTGTGGTATACCTGGTTATTATTATTTTATTGGTGAAACATTTTACTAAAGTAAGTCTTATGAATTTTTTCTATATATTGAACATTTTTCTACATTAAAATTTTTTGTGCTAGTTATGTTTTATTCTCTTTTGTATTTTTTTATCTTTCCAAACAATGAATTCCAAGAGTAACTTAAAAGTTAATTTACATAAATAAAAAATATTATATATATATATATATATATATATATATATAAATAAATAAAAGCATACAACAAAAAATGAATTATAAACAATTTTTTACGGGTAGAGATACATAATGTAAATATATGGACAAAGTTCTTATGATGTAAAAAGTAAAATTTCACCTATGTGAAAAGCTCTAGGGCATCCGTCACAACATAAAAGATTTCCTCCATCTCTACATATACTGCAGAGATCATCATTATCACTAGTAGAAACCTTGCGACCTTTTGACAAGGAGATGGACAACTCGTGGAGTGAGAGTCCATTAGATATTAATATGTGCACATATCTGCAAGAAATTAAAAAATTATGTTAAATAAGAAAAAAAGATCGGTTCATTTCCAAAAATTTCTAATATAATTCTTTATTATCATCACAATCATGAAAAACATAGACAGCAGAGTAAAATAAAGGAAAAAGAAAAAGTAAAAAATTCCTATCACACAGAGTGGAAAATAAAACTAATATATATTAAGTGTTTTGATGCATAATTCAATAAAAAACAACAATATAAACAATACAAATAAACAAAAACTCACGGCTTTCGTCGTGATGCCCAACCAGCATGTGCTTCAAATTGAGAAGGACTAACCTGTTTATCCATTATTTTATATGCATGAAATGTGTCAAATGTATCATTGAAGTCAATAATTAGAATAATATATGTACAAAATTAAGAGAAAAATGTACCACAGAATCACAACAGCTACAAACAATTCCATATCCCTTTTTGTAACCAGTCAATAATTTCTGTCCACATAACAAAATGTATATTAAAAAAAAATAATAGTTAGAAAAATAGAAATAGAAGAACAAGATATTATAAAGACAACCTTTCCATGAATATGGTATGCTACTTGAGTTCCATCAGGCAACCCATCTTCCTCAAAGACCAACTTATGCAAGCGTAAATCCCTTCAAAATTTGAAAACATAAATAAATAATATTATACCTTTGGCAAAACTAAAATATAAGATACAGTTGAACAAAATTATTTTGTTGAATATTTTTATAAGAGAGGTAACAATACATATATATTCACAAATGGGACTACAAGTCAATTATATAAAAAAATAATATCATCTATAATATAACATGTAAAGACATTAACTTTATGATTTTCTTTAGTTATATATTCCAATTTTCTCATTTTTATCCAATATTAGATATAATTTCAAACATAAACTCTAATAATCCCTCGATCAAATGAGTCACTTCGTATTAGCACACTCTCTTTGAAAATACAAAAATCCATAATTTTAAGATACATCAATTATTCCGTATGTTACTTGACTGAGTTAGTTATTAGAATAAACCATTAACTCTATATCTATGAGTATTTTTGAAAGATAAGAGTTAATATATAATCATAAATAGAACCAAAAGTTAATTATATCAAACAATATGACAAGACATTCAAACCAAAGATTCTAAGTTATTTGTATATGAGTTTTTTTCACTTATATCTTATTTAACTCTTTTTTTCTACACAATGAGATCCAACTTCATACCTGAACTGTGACAATGTCCCCGTCACATTCTAAATGAAATAAATATTTAACTTGTGTAACAAAAATACTTACTTCCTAGTTAGTTTTCCTTGACTTTTACCATTAGATGTGTTGTGTTTCATTCCACGATTTAACGATGTTGAAAGCGCAATTGATTTTGAGAACCTGAAATAGCCCGTTAAAGGATATTATATCAACATGACAAATATTAAAAAAAAAAATATTATCAACATCAATAATATAACATGGATAAAGCATTGTGCGTGCAACATTAGAAAAAAAAATCAAATGACAACTCAAGATGTAAATAAGATTAATTAAACCTTATGATATATGTTATATCTCTCTATTCTTTAGCACAAAGGAAATGAATCACATTATAGATGTTTCACATGTATGATATTACTAATAATAATTGTTAATTATTAACAAGTTCTATAACTCTATGATCTCTGATAAATATTAATGGACAGTAACAACAAAAATTATTTTAGTTATAGAGATGCTTTTAAATATCTTATTCTTATAATGAATTATGATATAACAATTTTGGTTATGAAAAAAAGAAAATACCTGTATTGAACAGAGATATTATTTGGGTCATTTGTTGGGATGAGAATGGGTTGATGATCCTTTAATAACCTCACACATGAATTACAAAATAATCTTGAAACAACATTCACATCTTCAAAAAAATACGCAATACATGAAGGTTAGTTGCTAATATCTATTTGAAGTAAATAGACAACCATATGAAAAGGTAGAAAATAAGTTTGTATGAATTTCAAACCTCTACAATTCACACAAAACATAGATTTTCTCATTGTGAAGCCTCCAAGCATTTTCTGCACAACTTCCTCCAACTTGTCTAATGGAATATGCAAAAATGTATTCATGATATCACGAAGAGTATGTCCATTCTCAAGAAAAATATACTCTGGAGGGCGCTTGTTTGCACTACCAGCATGTAACTCAAAAATTGTGGGCGTTACAACCTACATCATTAGTAAAAAAATATATTTTCAAGCAAATTTGTGAAATGATTGCGTTCATCTAAAATTTTCAAGGAATACAACACAAATTTATAGAACTTAAAATCTTGCTTTCAACTAAAGCATAAAATATATTTTCATTCACTTACCTCAACTTTGTTACAAATTTCACAATAACATAAAATACCAACGCCAGAAATGACACCCAAGAGCCCTGTAGATTTTGCCTGCAAGAAACCAAAAAAAAAAAAAAAAAAACATCTCTAACATGAATTCACACACTATAGAACTCAACAACACAATAAAAAATATACAAAATAATACCTTGATACCACGAACATATTTTACAAGTAATCCTTCAAGAATCCCAGATGATAAAAGGTCTTTTAGTTTCAAAGGAAATTTTTTTCCCCCAGAACACATAGATATTTTCCTCGAAGCTGAAGCAACAACATTTTTGCCTTCTTTCTCAACATTATTACTTTTAACCTTATTATCACCATTTTCAACCTTATTCATAGTTGACAGCATAACTATTTTTGGGGATTTCAGCTCGCAACCCAACATCGATGGAACCTTATCACTGACAACTTCTTCCTTGACCCCACCGTTATCACAAACCATTTTTATTTGTTCCATCTCAATCTTAGGTTCATAATTATTATTCTCTTTTTTAAAAGGAATAACCATTTCATCTTCATTCCTCACTTGAATTATGGATTCAACACTCTCATGCACCTTTTCACAAACAACAGATATTGTTCCTTCATCACCACCCACTTGACACTTGGGTTTCTCTGCATTCATTACATCACTCTTTGCTTCCTCCTTGCTTAGAACATCTCCAATATCATCCTCGGATTTAACTAAACTTGTGAGGCCTGTGAGATTTTTCCTCTTTGATTCAAAGAGACTAGACTTTTTGGATCTCTTGCGAGACAAACTATTGGATCTTGTTCGGCCTAAAGAACCACAAATTTCAGATTGTACCTTCATAGCAAAGGTGAACTCCCTTTTCAACCCTGTGCGAACTCTAGAGAACTCCACAAAGTGTGTTGAATCTGTATCGTTCGCCATGCATGCATAGGTACAAAATCAATCGATAAAAACCTAAGATTTGAAATGATTAGGTTAGAAATAATGATAAAGGTTCTAAGATTGTGAGGATGTGTACATGCATGCAAATGAAAAAAAAAATTAGGGTTTAAAGAGGAATTGGCACCTTTGAGAATTAGGCTTGGTGAAAGGAAAAGGAATAAGAAAGAGATGCAGATAGATATTTAGGTAAAGAAATGCTGCTTACCTCAAAGAAGACCAAGAAATCTTATTTTGATTTATTCAAAGACCCAAGTAAACCTAGGATCACCTAGTCTTGTATTTTATTCTCCTTTTCTCTCTAGAAATTCTCTTGTTTTATATATGTTAATTTATATGATTTATCAACAAGCTAATAAAAACTTGTTCTATTATAGTATTATAATAATAAATAAAAAAGGTAAAACTAAATTAATGATTGTATTAGTTTAAAAATTTCATATTAATTATTTAAAAAAAAACTTATGCATAGTTATCTGACTCTATGTCTGACTTTCTTAATTGTTCTCGTTTCTAATCTTAATTCTAGTTAATGTTAGGAATTATATGACACATTTAAAAAAGTAATTAAATATAAATTATAATAAATTAGTTTTAATATTATTTTTTATATTAATTAGTTATTTCTTATCTTTAAAAATTGTAGGAACCCATAGAAATTTCGCAAAATATTTTGAATTGCATCATTTGTCGTATAACCATGAGTGCAATATGGAACATTAAATTTTAAAACAATATGATATTTTTGAATTAGTTATGTATATAGGCTATGAACTAGTTTTTGGATAAGCATGATAAAATATTTTATCAGACAAAATCTTAATTTTTATATATAGATTAGTTGTGAATTTTGTTTAGTTAAATAGTACATGACTTATTGGGTTAACATAAAATCTTACTAAACAAAAAATTATAATTTATTTTAAAATATATGTCAAATTAAACCATTGTCCCTTAAGACAAGACTTAGTCAAGTTGAGTTAACTATTTTGATTGTCTTGTTTTTTTTTTTAACACCTTTATTCTTGATTTTGGGATCAATGAGTTTGTGTTTTTTTTTTTAATTATAGACATTTTTGTGTTTATCATTTCCTTAATACTTGATTATTTTCAATTGTCCCCTTCTTTTTAAGTGCATTGCAACGTATTCCTTACTTTTTTATGGTCATATAATTGATATTGATGTACTTGTTACATATTTTAATTATTATAAAATTTTTAAAATTCATCATATTTCTTTTATTGGTTTGGCCAAAAAATATAAGTATTGATTTTTTTAGAATATTAAAGAACTTCTGTTTAAAATCCTATATTATTAATATATGGTTTAAACAGGTGAGATTTTTATAAAAAACATAAATCAAATTTTGAATATCGTTGAACTAAATTCGATCTAACAAATCATAATTTTATGACTATGTCTTCGTGGCAAAGTAAATTTCTTTTTAGATTAACTATTTTATTGACACTTAGAATTTGGCTAGTCTCAAGTCTTAACAAAGTGTAGTTTGTATTCATTTTTTTTATTATTATTTACCCAAAGAATAATCATTTATCCACATGAATCTTAGATTCACCTTCTTCTTCTTCCTCTTTCTTTTCTTTTCTTTTTTTTTTTTTTTTACTTTTCATAAGTTACAATCACTCACTCGAGGACACAAGTTCCTTTACATTCATCTCCACTTTTTTCTTATCTTCTTTTAGAGCATATCACAAACATTCTCCTTTATTTTAACTAAAACTATAAAACTCGTGAGGCATTAGAGTTTTTAATTCAAATAAGGTAAATATTTGAATCACTTGCTAGATAAATAATTAATATTTTGAACCAGTCTCCTAATTTATTTATTTTTACCAAGTTTAGCTTAAATAACTATAGATCTCATGAGTATGTTTTGCATCATATTTTAAAACTTGTATGAATAATGAACCCCATCAAATTTCACAAACCATTTTGAATAATACATTTTCAAGCCAAGTAGACTTGGTATAAATGAAACTCTAAAATAATATATTATTTTTTAACTTGATATGTATGAATAGGTATCTAATATTGGATATGATAATAAATAATATAATATTTTTGTAGACAAAAATTTTATAAGTATTTAATGCTTTTTATTCATTAGGTTGTAAATGACTCATCGACTTAACATAATACTCAATTACATTTTAAAATATAAATAAGGTTGAGTCTTTAGAAATTTTTAGTAAGACTCCAAATTAGACTGGGGTTGTCCTAATCTTTGATGTTTTTTTTTTTATCATCTTCATTCTCAATTTGACTTTTGGGTTCACCAAGCTTGTATTTTTTTAACAAATCACAAAAGTTTTTGTTTTCTTATCTAGTTGATACTTGATTCCATGGCATCCAAGGGTGGAGCAAGAAATTGTTGACGAGGAGTTCGAATTGAATAATATATATTAATTAAATATGGTATAAAAATACATACATTATATAAAATTATTAAAAATTATAAATCATCTACGTATATTTAACATAGACCTAATATATATATATATATATATATATATATATATATATATATATATATATATATAATTAAATATGTTTTTATTATTGATGACCACTTATTTGTTAGTATTTTTCTTAGTTAATAGAATAGAATCAGATTCTTTTAGGTTCATATTCTATTATATTATTAGATTTATATTTTTAGAAAAGAATATGCAAAATCATAAAAATATACTAATTTCTGTATTTTAATATAATTTTCTGTGTTACTTTTAATTTCTTCATTGATCAATTTTGACTTTTGCCTCTTCATTGATTTATATATTTTTTTATAGAACTTTGATTGAGGTGATTCTTTTTGTGTTGGAAACTAGACATCTTAAGCTTCAATTTGAGTATAAATTTCACTATTTCTGAAGCTAGGAGCTATCTTTAATAAATCAGATAAAATAGTGACATGAAACTGAAAATTTTGTTATGAAAGTGATACAGAAATTAACTATAGTTAGATTTAGAACACGCTTGTAATTAGTTTTAATCACGGTTTAGTTAGTTTTAACTCTAGTTAACTCACATTTGAACCTATATATAATGCATTTTCATGTCATTATAAGACACATCAAATTCTATTCTTCAATTGATGTGAAACTAGTTCAAATTCTCTCAATTATGGTTCTTTCTCTTGCTCTTTCTTTAGTTTTCAACTTAGTTTTCTTTTTGTCTTTTTAGTTTCCACTTTTTCTGCTTTGCTTAGTATTCTTTTTGCTTTATTTTAGTTTTTCTTTCAATTCAATTCTGTTTTACATTTGTTCTACACGAATTTCTACTTCAATTCATCACATAATCATAGATTGTTCACAATGTTATTTTCAGCTTTGTTCTTCTTCATTGTTTTCGGTTTTTACATTGTTTTGGAAGTGATTTGGGCGTGATTCTTGTTATTTTTCAAGCCTTAATCGGTTTCTTATTCATTAAGGAGAAGAATCACGTCTCATTAATTTCACAAAGTTTTCATGTGTTGTTTTGCTGTTTTTGCTGTTTTGACGTTGTTTTACCATTTCAATTTTGTTTTTGTTGTTTTGGCTTAATTTCTTCAAGTTGATTGGTTAGAATGTTGTTCTTAGATGTTATTTCAAGTTTTTTACTTTGTTTTAGAATTCAATCGGTCAAAATTCGTTTTAGGAGTATCTTCTCTTTGGTTTGTTCATAGCAATTTAGAAGTAGTTTTCAATTTAGGAATAACTTTTACATTTGATTGATTTTTTGTGTTTGATTTTGTAGAACTTGTTCTTCATAATCCTTTGCTATTTTTTCACAATTTAGAAGTTCTAAACATTAGTTGATATTTTAAGTTTTTCAAACAATTAGAATTTTGTTTCCAATTAATCTCTGCATTCGGTCATGAGTAGTTTCTAGTTTTTGTCCATTTGAATTCTTCAATTGTTCCAATTTATTCTTACTGTATTTTTTGTCCATATTTAATTTCAAACATGATTTGATTTTGTTTTTGTTAATTCCAAACTGTTTTAGTTGTTTTAGTTTCTAAACATTTTTACAAACATGTTACATGCACTAGTTTAGTATATTTTATAATTCTAGTCTAGTTATTTATGTTGTTTCGGATTATAAGCTTAATTCTTCTTAATTTTTTGTGTTCTAAAGCATTTAGGAACATTTCTAATTTTGTTTATAACTTAGTTTAATTTTGTTTGCATTTTATTAGTTGCATATTTTAGGCAATTTAAGTCATAACATGTTCATATACATAGTTAGCAAATGTTTTAGTTTAATTACATTTTTCAATTCGGTTTTCCAAAGTTTTTTGTAGTTTTTACATCATTTCAATCATTTTCTAGTTCCAATTGTGTGCTTAATGAATTTGGTTTCTAGCTTTGATAATTGATTAGTTTAGTTTCCATTAGATTTACAACATACAAAATTATTTAGCTAAATCTGTCACAAAATTTGTAACTAGTTTTGTTTTTGAATTCTAGCAATTTTTTTTTATTTTGTTCTTTATTTGTTTTTAGTATCTTTAGTCTTTTTTTTTACCAATTTGATTTTACCATTTAGTGTTTAGTTCCATTTAAAATTTTTACCAATTTTCATACAAAGCAATTTGACACATTTTAGTATACTAGTTTAAAATTCTTTTTAGTTGTTTACTTTTAATTTTTTTTACTTTTATAACTCAAAATCCCCACCAATTTACTTATTTTTTTTTCATTCAAATTACGCACCATAAAAAGAACAATTTGCAGTTTCACTCATTGGATTGATACTTGGTTTACCTCTTACTACATTTTTGGGGAACTAAATTTTGAAAATCTATTTGACTAAGGGTTTATCAAATTGGCGTCGTTGTCATGGAGTGGAATAAATTGTTTCTTTAATGATGTGTTGTTTGAATTGTATAAAGTGTGCATAATATTTCCTTCCATAAAAGAAAAAAATTACATTTGGATGTTGTATGACCCGGTCTACACCTGAGATTTTGCTTGATTTT